CTTTTTGCTTGGAAAAGAAAATAAGTGAAGAAAAACAGACAAAGTGAGAGCTGTTCCTTCCATCTAAATGGCTATTTTCTTTTTACATCATGGCCCACATTTTTTCCCAAAGCCGAACTCTGTCCAGAGGACCTGCTCAGACTTTAGAATCTAACTAGTCTCTGGAAATTCAACCTTGGGTTGTTCTCATCATCCCTGGAAATTCTCTGGTTTAAGTGTAGTCACCAAGGGTGGGAGGAGGGGCTATCTGGTTTTCCATTGCTCCCTTTTGCTCCGCCATGTGTGGGCGGGAGTCGTTGCAAGGGAGGAATCCTGCCTGTGTGGGTGTGGGGGATGGAAACGACAGAGGGAGCTCCAGGGCCTGAGGGACACCCACTCGGTAAGAAAGAACTAAGGCTGAGATAGAGAGCCAGGAACAGAAGAAAAAAGAACAAGAGACCCTAAGAGACCGAAAATGACAGACACGTGCACTTGAGCGCGCGCGCACACACACACAGCTGTGAGTCCGCGGTTGCAGAGTCTGGCCGGGAACTGGGTTTGTGCGCAGCCCTGCCCAGGCCCAATTTTCTCTTGCCACGAGTTTCCAACCATCGCGTCCCAGGGCTGTGTGTGGATATCAAAGTAACCAGAGGGTGCCTTCATTCTCTAAGTGGTCCTTGTAAAGTCCTGGTATTTATAGGCAATTATTGACCATGTCTCCAATAGAGAGGGAGATAAACAGTGAATAAATGTATAAATAATAAGGCTGGTGGCTCCAACAGTTTGTCGTAGTGACATTTATTTCAGAAGGAAATAAGCCCCGTATTTCCATTATGCCCTGTTTTAATTTTATTTATTGGTAGTAATGGTTTTCTCCGGCTCCAGCCAGTGGTAGAATTATTGGCCGTGCAGGGCCGCGCAGCAGGAGATGCAGGAAGAAGGAAGAGGAGCAGGGTTCTCAGAGCTCTTACGCCCACATTCCTGAAGTGTTTCCCAGAATAGACCGCAGGCGGGCAGTGCTGCGAGACCCTGCCTTGTTTTAACTAAATCCTACAACAGCTCAGTGAGGATTTGGGGAAACACAGGGAAGTCAGGTAGTAGGAGTCAGAGGAGGAAAAGAGCTTGGAAACAAATCCAGGCACTCGCCTGATGATATATCACTGATCGGAGAGAGAGAGGAAGGGAAAGAGAGAGCGATACTGGTCGGTCGCCTCCCATATGTGCCCTGACAGGGGCGCTGAACCTGCAACCTAGGTATGTGCCCCGACTGGGAATTGAGCCCACAAACTTTTGCTGTACCCTCCAAGCAACTGAGCCACCTGTCCAGGGAAGGAGCCCACATTCTTAACCACTCTGTTCTGTGTCTGTAGACCAGGGCTCAGCGGTTTTTTATAAAGGACCAGAGAGGAGATATTCTGGCCCTTGGGGCAGTATGTTCTCAGTCACGACTACTCGACTCTGCCATCGTAGCAGGAAAGCAGCTGTGGACAGTACAGAAATGAACAAACGTGGCTGTGTTCTAACAATGCTTATCAAAACAGGTGGTGGCCCGGTTTGGCTGGGGCCCATGGTTTGTGGCCCCCTGCTCTGGGTGTGGCCCTTGTCAGCCCAGGGTGGACATGAGCCCAGCTGCTCCCTTTGCTGGGCTTCAGCCTGCTTGGGTGTGGGAGGCCACGGTAGTGGTGAGGGGAGGCCACATGGGGTCAGGGAGAGTCCCTAACATTCTGTCCCTCCTTGCTCCCTGCCAGCAGTGGCCTCCTCACAGGGAGTGTCCGCCAGCCTGCTGCTTGCTTTGCCGGCCTCGGCTGCCGACCCTCTGTCCTCGTGTGGGTTTTCGTGGGTGCTTTCCTCCTAGTTAACCTGACTAGAATGTCACTGGAAGGTGCTTTGCTCAGTGCCCGGCACCCAGGAGGCCCCTGTAAAGGGCAGCTCTGGCCCTATTTGCATCTTCAGACCTGCAGAGGCCTCTCCTGGCTTGGGAATTGCAAATCTGTGTGGCATGGCGATTAAGAGTGGGGGCTTTGGAGCTCCGTTCTGCCATGGATCTGTGGGCCTAATTTTCTCTCAGCTTCAGTTTCCTTGTCTGTGCATGGCCATCAGAATCTTTCATTTGGTGAAGATGTAATGAGAGAATGCACCCAAGGAACACAGGACACAGGAAGTACTCCTGACAGTTGTTAAGCAAACAGGCCCCAGGTCTCTCCTTTGGAGATGTTCTTTCCACCCTCCCTCCCAAGGAGGCAGCAATCCCTTCAGGAGGAGAGAAAAGTGTGCTCAGAGGGGGAGTGAGCTCCTCCAGGCTGTGAGAGAGCAGCAGGAGAAAGAGGGAGGCCATGAGGTCACACATGCAGCCCCTCCAGCGTCAAGGGAGATGGGAGAGGCTGCTGGGCATCTTTGGGTACATGAGCCTGAAAGGATGGCTTGTGCCTCTTTGCTGAGAGCCTGACTCTGGGTCACCAGAGGGGACTAATTAAATCCGGGAGGGGCAGCCTGGAGCATCTGGGTTCACCCCTGACTGTGGCAGGCCAGCTGTTGGCCAGTCTGAATCACTTTAGCAGGTCAAGCATGAGGGAGTTCACATCCAACCCAGTGGGTAATTCTATTCTTTTCTGACAGAGGCAGCTGGGGCTTAGCCTCTTTGATTATTAACTAAGGTGGCAGCCTTCACAGTGAAGTCAGCCAGGTCTCGGGAAGGCATTGGGAGATAAGTCTTCTCTGGAGAGGTGCGGGATCCAGAGATATCTAAAGGAGAAAAAAATCTTACTACTATTACTAATTATGATTCTAATAAATATTATTATTGTTACCTTCTCACTTTGGACCCTGTGTCCTTTCACTTAATCTTTCTAACAATCTTGTGAGGTAGATTCTTTTATTAACTGCATTTTAGCCATGAGGAAATTGGGGCTTAGAGAGATCAAGTGACTTGCCTAGGTAGGAAGTGACTCACACAAGTAGAATGACTTTGGCAGTGTTTCCATCCATTCCTTTAGTAACAACAAGTTAAGTGAGGTAGCATGGCTGGAGCCAGGGTGCGGTGGACATCTATAGCTTTGGTCATCTGTCCAGCATCCATTCTCCCTTCTAATGGTTGCCCTCATACCATCATGCAGTTGGGTAGGGCTGGCCCCATTGCTGGCTCCAGGGGTGGCCCCACGGCCTAGGCCTACTGACAGGGGCCCCACCCTCTGGGACTCCAGGCTAGGCCAGGCTGCCACGCCTCACACAGGCTGGCCACTGCCCAGCAGGAGCTGTGCTAGGCTTTCCAACATTAGTCAGGGGTTGGTCTCATCTGAGGAGGAGCCGCCCAGTCCAACATGTTTGCAAACCATGGCTTCAAGTGTCCCCCGCCCCAGGGAGGGCCCCTCAGCTCGGCATGCTGCCAAATTCCTATTGTATCAGAGTTGCTGAGCCTGTGTATAAATGTGGAGGTGTGTAAAGGATGTGTGTAAAAAGGATGTGAGCCCCTTTTTCTGTGTGCTCACAAAAAGGTGTGTAAAGGATGACCACAAGGCAGAACCCAAGGGGCAGCTGCTCCTCCTTGAATGAGACCAGCCTGTCTCTTACTGGCTGGTCCGGCCTGGCTTGAGATGGGCAGTGGACAGCCTGACTGGGGGGATAGCAGATGTACTAGAGCAGACAGACAGATGGACAGACTGGAGCAGACACTGGGCACAGCCCAACTCCTCCCCACGGCTGTGCTTGGCCTTGCTATCTCACCTCCCGCTCCCTGCTCCTGCCCTCTTTGTGCAGAACTGCCCCTCCTGCCCCTCGTCCCCCTTCTCTTAGATTCTGCTGTGCACCAAATGCTTACCCACCCTGCCCTCCTACCCCTGCTAGCATTCCTCTGCAAATCTAATCTCAGAGAAGTCGGTCCTGATTCCTGGGCTCTCTCCTTTATGGCACATGTCAAAACTGTTTTGAAATGACTATCCTTGCAAGTTGTTCTCTTACTTTCTGGCTAGAACCATATCTGCTTTACTATCCTGTCTCGTTAGCCATCGAGCCCTTTTTATTGGACATGCAGGTTCAAGTGCTCCTCGAAGGAATCACCTGGAGAGGTACTGCTGCACCAGCTCTCTTCCAGCCATGAACTTAGAATCAGCGGCATCACAGAGACAGTGCTGCATGGTGGTGGCGAGGGCAAGCACTCAGCCACACCGCCCGGGCACGTGGTTTACTCTCTCCAGGCCATGGTTTCCCACCTGCACCATGGGAGTGGTGGTGGTGCCTTCCTCACAGGGGTGATAGGAAGTTTAAATGTGTACTCATACAGAGAGTACTTAGCACAGAGCCTGACACTTAGTAGGTGTTATCGTATGTGTTTTAGTGATATTCTAGATGCTAGGTAGTGAGAACTACAGGGATTAATACGGGATATCCAGATGATCACTCCCATTTTACAGATGAGAAAATTGAGTGTTAATGAAAGGAAGGGGTTAGTCTCTGACATTGCATAGCTAAAATCTTTCAAGACCATGAGCCTTTGTTGTAAGTTTTCAGAACATTATTTTCTAAGAAAAATGAGAGTTGGAGCCAAAGAACAACGTTCCTTCTTTCCTCATTCATTCTTCAAATATTCGTGTGGCTCATGGTTGATGGTCCAATGTGTTTTTTGAATGAATAGATGAACAAATGAATAAAGAGGCCTCTGTGGTTAAGAAAAAGGCTGCCATGTGGGCTATCAGATTTCTGGCTTGAATATGCCACCTCATTCTTGTGCTCATGGCAGACATAACTAATCACTCATGGCTACTTTTTCACTGAGCCTGAACCCCACCTCAGAATCTTCATCAGAGTCCACCATTAACTGATCAGACTTGGCTCCTCCAATAAAACCTGCCTTTCATCGTCCCATCTCAGAAATCTCTTTCCTTATGTGGTTTCTTTCTTTCTCTCCTTTCATTTTTCCCTGTCAGGCCCTTTCACTCCTTATTTTCCATTCACCCCACTTTCATTTTCCTTTCTTTTAATAATGTGGACCCAGAGGTATTGCCCTTTGAATTCTGGTAGAAACATACCTGAAGGATCAAGGCTCCTACTTCCCTGCTTCCGTCACTGGAGAAGACGAGAGGGTCCCGAGCCAGCCGACCACCGCCCCGTTAGGACAGTCCGGCCTTCTGGTCTCAGAGGGGCTGCGGCCTCCCCAGAAGTCCTATAGATGCAGCAGGCCTGGAGGGAGGACGAAGTGTCTCATGATTCACTCGGGTGGCCAGGTCCTCCTGGCCCTGCCCGGGCTCTGCCCTCCTACAGACAGACCTAGGGTAAACTCTCCCTGCTTTGTTAAACAATCTCACCAGGAAGGAGGAAGTTACTCTGAGGGCTCATTGGCAGGAAATGAGTCTAAAGTCTTGTGTAGCTAAGGAGCCCCTGGAGCCCTGGCTTGGGCCCAGGCTGCGAGCCCGTCTTTCTCAGAATTCTCCTGGCCTTGGCAGAGGAAGTCCGGGTGGGAATTTGAGCAACTCAGTCAGGAATGAGAGACCACAGTCGCTGCCTGAGAACACAAGTCAGGGTACAGGACAACACTGCTCCCCAAACAAATGAATCCCATGCTGACAGCCTCCCCGGGCCCTGGGGGAGCAAGTGGGGGGTAGAATGAGTTAGGAGGGTGCCTTCACCTGCTCTGAGGCCCTGGGTCAGGGTGCCGGCTGATGGAGGAAGCAGGGAGGAGGTGAGCCTGTGGGTGGAGACCGAGACTGGGGGTTGGAATAGGGCAGCAAAGAAGGAGGGGTGAAAGGAGACTGCAGATAGTGAGTCTGGATGAAGGAAGGGGGAGACCTTGATCAGGAGTGAGGAAAACAGGGAGAGAAAGTGGTCTGGGGAAAAGATTCTGCATTCGGTTTGGGACACCAGGAGTTAGAATTTACAGCTGGGGAGAGAGGGAGGAAGAACAGAGAAGGGCCGACTGGCAGTAGGGTGTCGGCGCAACAGTGGACGCAGTTTTGTTCTTCCCTTTCCCAAGAACTACAAGTGCATTTAGAGGGGCGCAGTGTCCCCCACTGCTGACCCATCCCCCCCAACCTCCCAGGCTTGTCGCTCACAACTCATGGTTCCTATTCCTGAGGTCTTTCTCTCCTTAGGATGAGTTCTTTCCCAGGAGGCACCGAGCTCCTCATGGGCTCCTGTGGGCCTTTCTCACTTGTTCGCAGGCAGGGGATGCTTCTATACTTGGTGATTTCTACCCTGACTGCTTCCAGAAATGTTGTGCGGCCTGCTTAAAATGAGTATCCAGGGACATGAGGGCAAATAGCTGCTCAGAAAATAAAGATGATCCCTGGCTGGTGGCTCAGTTGGTTGCAGTGTTGTCCTGTAAACCAAAAGGCAGCGGGTTCAGTCCCCAGTCAGGGCACAAACCTAGGCTGTGGGTTCCATCCCCGGTCTAGGCACATACAGGAGGCAACTGTCTGTCTGTCTATCTGTTTCTCTTTCTCCCCCTCCCTCGTTCTCCTTCTCCCTGTAAAAGCAATGAAAATATCCTTGGATAAGGATGAAAAAAAAAAAAGAAGTAAAAGCTGAGCACCCAGGAGCCAGTGGGAGGATGAGCCTACTGGGGACCGATGTGGCCCCCAAGCCTGTGTTCTGGCTGCCGGCTGATCCCTGGGGAGGGAAGGGACCCCTCGGGGCATGTCCTCTGGGGACAGGCCATGCTCTCCTTCATCCTGACTGGTCTGGGCCCTGGTTTCGTGTCTGCTCCCACCTTTTCTCCCCTCCCCTCCCCTTCCCTCCCTTCCTCCTGCAGCCTGGACAGTTCTGCTCAGGGCTGGTGCCTCTCATCATTCAGAGCTGATACACTTTAACTGTTTACAGTCAATAACAGCGAACCATTGACTTAAAATCCTGATAAGTTTTGTGAAGAAACCGTGACAGCAGAGAGCAGAACTTTCTTCATACGGGGGGTGTCCAACCTGCAGCCCGTCGGCCACATGAGGCTCAGGGTAGCTATGAATGGAGCCCAACACCAAATCGTAAATTTACATAGAACATGACATTTTTTGTGATTATGTCTCGCAATGTATTTAACGTGTGGCCCAAGACAACTCTTCTTCCAGTGTGGCCCAGAGATGCCAGAAGGCTGGACACCCTTGATTCAGCAGGTAGTCAGGGAAGCCTCTCTGAGGAGGAGCCTTGGGGCTCTGCCACTTGCCTGTTTGTGCTGTAACAAATGGTGGCTGTAAACAGTGCAAGTGTGTCATCCTACAGTTCTATAGGGCAAAGGTCTGACACAGGTCTCATGGGACTAAAACCCAGGTGTTGGCAGGACTGTGTTCCTTCTGGAGGCTTGAGGGAGAATGTTTTCTTGCCTTTTTCAGCTTCCCGAGGCCTTCCACATTCCTTGGCTCATGGCCCCTCCTCCATCTTCAAAGCCAGCAGACTTGCATCTTTCTGACCTTCCGTCCTGAGATCTTCCGACTCTTCACAGGTCTCGAGGACCCTGTGTATACATTGGGCCCCCCGGATGCTCCAAGACACTCTGCTTGGCTTAAAGTGAGCAGACTAAGAACCTTAATTCCATCTGCAACTTTAGTTCCCTTTGGCAGTGTAATTAATATTACATAGTCACAGGCTCTGTGTTTTAGGACTTGGGCATTTTTGAGGGACATTATTCTGCTAATTATAAATGCAACCCTGTTTTAGTGTCTTTACAGCACTTTCAACAGCCTGAAATGACATTTCCAGAATATTGGCTCATTTGTCACCTGTCTTGTGCTCCTGGAAAGTGGGTCTTCTGAGGGCAGAGACCTTGGTGCTGCTCACTAGAACCGTGGCTGGTACTAACTCAGCAGGTGCTCAGTTATGGATTGCTGAATGAATGAATGAATGAATGAGTGCTGGCTCACTCCTGCATTGGTCAATACAGACAGCACTGGTCTGAGAGCCAGGAGCTGTGACCCCCACTTTGCCCTGAGCAGCCGTGTGACCCTCTGGGTCTCAGGCATCCTTACAATAGCCTTGGGAGGAAGGGAAGGCCCATGGCGGTCTCCCTGAGCTTCAGTCTCAGAGAAGATAATTACCACTGTGAAATCATCCCTTAGTTTTCCTTCCCACGGCAACACCCTGTTTTGGACCCTGAAGCACACAACCTGAGTGGGCACCTGAGGGGACATTCTCCCCTGTATTCACTCAGAGGGGAACCAGCTGGGTCTTGGTATTGGTTCTGGATTCTGTGTGTACCAGTAGATCCGCCGCCACCAGTCTACTCTGCAGGTGGAGAATATGGGCATCATAGTAGATGCTCAATAAACTCTGACTGTGATTTTGACTCTGGTTTTGAAAGGGGTCAGTGTGCTTTCTCTTCTCTCTTGGACAACAACACTGACAGAATGGGGGTCAGTGTCCAGTCTAGTTTGGTGAGAGGTTTTGAAAGTGCAACTATTGGTGTTGGATAGTTGATTCATTTCCTTGGGGGCCAATCTCTTGGGGGATTGTTGGGGCCAAAGGCTGGCCCAGTGGCCAGGAGGTGGCAGGAATGGTCACCTCCCTTCCATTGCCGACAGACTCAGGGCATGGCTGTGCGGCCAGCAGCTGCAAGCACTCAGGGGAGTACCTGTAACTCAGTACCTTATTTCGCTTATTTAATTATAAAGACAATACAGTCCCATTGTGAACATTTTGGAAAATACTGGACAACATAAAGGAAAAAAAATCAGGCAAACATAACCTCCCTCCCACTGGAAACGAGGTTAATATTTTGGCCTATTTCTCCCTCGGGTTGTACACAGAAGTCTTCCTCAGCAGTCAGCTTGCCCCTTTCCCTGTTCATGCGTCATCACAGCCAAGGCACCCCCTGCATCCTGGAAAACGCGGAGATGTGATTTTGCAATGACCGCACACAACTGTATCACAAGGCACCGTCTTCATGTCCCCTCCTACGCTGCTGGGTGTCTCCATGTATGTGCACGTGGGTGTAGTGTGGTGCAGTCAGTTTTTTGCAGGCACATCTTGTGATCTTTGTGCACCTTTGTTTTCTCCCTTAAAACAACAGAACCAGTAATGCGAGCCTTCCTACACCACAAGGTTTTATGAGGCCAGAGTGATAAAGTGGATATTAAATGCTTTCAAAACCAAGGAGAAAGAACTGTCCAGATGGAAGGCCAGATTTGGAGCATTGCCTCTTCAAGCACCACCCCTTTGGGGGGGGCGGGGCGTGTGTGTGTCTTGTTCTTTTCTTTTTTTTCTTTTCTTTTTTTGGCTTAAACAACAGACATTTATTTTCTCATATTTTTGGAGGCTGGAAGCCCAATATCAGAGTAATCAGCAGGCTGGTTCTTCGAAGCTTGTAAGTGAAAATCTGTTCCATGCCTCTCCTAGATTCTGATGTTTACTGACAATTGTCGGTGTTCCTTGGGCTTTAGATACATCACTCTGGTCTCTTCTCATGTTCCCATGATGAACTGTATCTGTATTTTTTCTTTGTATAAGGGTACCACTCACACTGGAGTGGGGACCTACCTTATCCAATATGACCTCGTCTTAACTAATTACTTTTATAACAACTCTATTCTCAAGTAAAGTCACATTCCGAGGTACTGAGGGTTAGCTCTTCAACATGAATTTTGGGGAGTCATGATTTAATCGGCAAGAGAGATCAAACGCCGTATTTTACCATGTATAGTGCACACCCACGTTTTTGGCTCAAAGTTTCAGGAAAAAAAATCTTCGTTTTAATTTTTTAATTCAATGTTTATTTATATTTAGAAACAAAACCAATGGTTGTATTCTAGGGCATTATTTTGCATATGGATATTGTTATTGGTTTCTAGAGTTACACTTTTAATGCATAAACATAAATAAAAGAATTAAAAACATTTATATAGCTGCAGAATTAATACTACCCATGCATAATGCATACACTATTTTTCCTCAAAAATTTAGGCAAAAAAGTGCATGTAGGCAAATTTTATGTATTCTACATCTACTCTTGTTTCCAATATAAAATCTTCTCTCAGATTTTTTTAAAACTACCTTACTGATCCCTCATTTTCAATCTCCTTTCCTAGTCCTTGAGCTGCTCTGTATGTGCCCATACTTTGCTGTGTGTGTGTTTCTAAACAGTTGAGAGAATATGTGGGTGCGGGGCCCGGAATAACAGCAGAGGCAGCATTTATGGAGCGTTTAGTATTGGCCTGGTGCTCTGGTAAACAAGGCACACGCACAATTTGAATTTATCATGGCAACAACCCTCCAAGGGAAGTACGATCATTACCTACAAATGAGGAAGCTGAGGCACAGAGAAGCTGAGTAATTTTCCTACGATGACAAGCAGGAGACTGAGGAGGGACACGCACACACGGCTCTGGGAGCTGCTGTCAGCAAG